ATCTTCCCCCCACACCCCTTCCTACCCCTCAACCACACCCTGGTAGACATGAGGAAGTAACCTCGGATAATAATTATATAGCTATATTACAACACTTTTAAACCTCATCATCCCCCCCACACCCCTTCCTACCCCTCAACCACACCCTGGTAGACATGAGGAAGTAACCTCGGATAATAATTATATAGCTACATCACAACACTTTTAAACCTCATCACCCCCCCACACCCCTTCCTACCCCTCAACCACACCCTGGTAGACATGAGGAAGTAACCTCGGATAATAATTATATAGCTACTTTACAACACTTTTAAACCTCATCATCCCCAACACCCCTTCCTACCCCTCAACCTCACCCTGGTACACTTGGGGCAGTAACCTCGGATAATAATTATATAGCTATATTACAACACTTTTAAACCTCATCATCCCCAACACCCCTTCCTACCCCTCAACCTCACCCGGGTAGACAGGAGGCAGGACCCTCGGATAATAATTATATAGCTACATTACAACACTTCTAAACCTCACCACCCCCCACACCCCTTCCTACCCCTCAACCTCGCCCTGGTACACTTGAGGCAGTAACCTCGGATAATAATTATATAGCTACATTACATCACTTTTAAACCTCATCATCCCTCCACACCCCTACCTGCCCCACATCCTCACCCTGGTACACTTGAGGCAGTAACCTCGGATAATAATTATATAGCTATATTACAACACTTTTAAACCTCATCATCCCTCCACAACCCTTCCTACCCCTCAACCTCAACCTGGTAGATTTGAGGCAGTAACCTCGGATAATAATTATATAGCTATATTACAACACTTTTAAACCTCATCATCCCCCCACACCCCTTCCTCCCCCTAAACCTCACCCTGGTACACTTGAGGCAGTAACCTCGGACTTGAGGCAGTAACCTCGGATAATAATTATATAGCTACATTCCAACACTTTTAAACCTCATCATCCCTCCACCCCCCTTCCTACCCCACAACCTCACCCTGGTACACTTGAGGCAGTAACCTCGGATAATAGTTATATAGCTACATCACAACACTTTTAAACCTCATCATCCCCCACACCCCTTCCTACCCCCCAACCCCTTCCTACCCCTCAACCCCTTCCTACCCCTCAACCTCACCCTGGTACACTTGAGGCAGTTACCTCGGATAATAATTATATAGCTACATTACAACACTTTTAAACCTCATCATACCCCACACCCCTTCCTACCCCTCAACCTCACCCTGGTACACTTGAGGCAGTAACCTCGGATAATAATTATATAGCTACATTACAACACTTTTAAACCTCATCATCCCCCACACCCCTTCCTACCCCTCAACCTCACCCTGGCTAAGACTGGAGAGTATAACCAAAGTCTACCAAATGAACCCAAACCCTCAGTCAACCTCAAACGATACATCAAAACCCTCAACTCAGTTTTGTAAACCCAGATAATCCCAAAAACCCAAACCTCTTATAATTATAGGTACATTACAACTCTCTAACATCATCTCTGCCCCCTCTACCTCTACCACCTCATCCTGATAGACTTATGGATAGATGCAAAAGAGACAGTTCCAGTCTACTCGGTGAACCTGATAAAACCCTTGGTACACCTATCTCAGTATACAATGCGTCTACTCCGACTCCCCATCCTCAGTCGGACATGACAACCTCCACCCGGTTAACTCATCAGATCTGATATATAAACCCGAGATCATCTCGTCCTTTTCGTCTAAACATCAAATTTCATAGGATGCAGGTGTAGGATTGGGATAGCGACAGAAGCAAACCTATACAGTAATGTAATTATTCTGCCTTCAGCTAACACGATAATCATTATCTGACATAGAGACACACACTAGGTGTTCATTTCCTTCTGTTTCATTATAGATCAGTTCTAATTAAAGAATTACAATATAGAGGAATGACGGATGGAAAAAGAAGCGAGAGATATTTATGATTTAATGAATGGAAATTACAACTGTATTATTAAAGATCCCTGTCCCACTGCAATGTGGTTTTTCATATATATAGAGTGACCTCACCTTAATCTCGTTTTGGATATAACCATAGCATATATAGTTGGGCCTAAAGACACAACCATTGACCTGAGGTAGCTCAATTAGTTAGAACAACAGTGTGCCAATCTGAAGTCCAGGGTTAGAATCCTCAGCCTCACTGAAATTTTAGTAACTCAGAACGCTGTTGCTGATGAAATTGTATGTTTTGAATAACAGATGGCCTGTATGGACAAGTCAAATAACTGTTTTTAACAAAAATGGTCAAGTTAATAATGAAAGTTCATATACAGTTTGTATGTAAATATATGTATTATTAACGGCTATTGATATACATGTACTTATGCACTGTGGATAAATATGAACTGGTGAATAAAATAGAACAAAAAAATACAGATATTCTATCTATACACAAATCTATAAAACAGGTTTATGGCGACATCGCCCCGTATTGTTTTGTCTTTAGTCGCTATTTGATTGCAAACAGATCATAGGACATTGCCATATATACCTATTGATTAGTTTTTACCTGTTTTAACGAACACCTGTCAGTCCTGATGCTGGACTTGCCATATTTTACATTACTGATTGACCCTACTTTTTAAAACTCCCATCACTTTAATCCACTCAATCATGTTATACAAAATGGCACATTTTCATTTGGATATCTTTTTAATGTTTTTTTTTTAATACGTTTTATTAGATGATGGTCAATTTGAAAACTAAAGGATCCCTGTTCCAACGCTGGAAAAACACTGTATTTTTTTGTACATACAGTGACCTTACCGGTATTTGGTAATGGATGGTAACTGTATCACTACTGGCCCAGTGTAATACCATTGACCAGGTAGCTCAGTTAGTTAGCGTGACAGTATAATGGTCAAACGTCCAAGGTTCAAATTCTGGTCTGGAGCCATCGCATTTTTCACATTCAATTTTTAACACTATTGTTGATTCAATTTTGCTTATTTCATCTTTTTATTGTTTTTCATAAATGTTCCTAAAGGTATGACTTTCTATTTAGATATGATTTATGAAAGATATACCTAGTCTTGTCAGAAAAATGCTTTTATTGAATGATTTTGGTAGTGGTGCAGAAATAATTAAACGTCATCCTTTGAATGATTTTAATGAGTAGCAGAACTGAACTGGGTCAATTGACAGTGACCGGGTATAAAGCTCATAGGTAGAGTCCGGAGGGTCCCAGGGTTGAGTCCTGTTCTGGCTGTTCGTATAAAGCTCATAGGTAGAGTCCGGAGGGTCCCATGGTTGAGTCCTGTTCTGGCACTCGGAACTTCTCGGCCGATACGGTCATCTACGTTGGAAGGAACTGGAATCGGGGCGAGGTGTTCCGAATGCTGTTCTGGCTGTTCTTTTTTCCTCTCCTGCTACATTGGTACCTGTGACCCAACTGTTTCTCATGTACAAGGTGATGCCTAGGAGGGGGAAACCTAAACATGGGTTCTAAAAAGTGTTTTGTCTTTGGGAGCAAAACCTTCGAAAAAAGAAGGAAGAATTGTAGCAGAACTGGACTAGATAGATTTGTGTGACAAAGTAGCTCATATGTAGAGCATCCGTCTGGAGTTTGGAGGGTCCTGGGTTTGAATCCAGTTCTAGCAATGCATTTTTCCTTTGCTGTTACACATGTACTTTTGCTTTTGAAAAAGCTCACTGCTATAACATTATGATATTCTTACCAGAGATGACAAATTCCAGTATCAACATATTGATGAGGATCTATAGAAATAAACCTGTATACCATGACAGTGGGTAGAGTTATATTGGTCTCTTGAGTACCTTTCCAGCATAGGCATATGCTGTACATGATGGTCAATCAAAAGGTCAGTAATGGTCAATTATTTGGTCAGTCAGGGTAATATAGGTACTGGTTTCAAATCAATGATGGATTATACACAGCATTACGAGTTAGCAAGAAAATCTAACAGAAATGCCTCCGATTAATAATGTACCATACCATTGATACCCTTAACGAGATACAGGTAAAACATCTCACCTGTGCAGGTGATTAACCTGCTACCCAGACCATAAATGGTATCAAGTGAGGTATGACGTTTAATTTCTAATACGGGTTTATAGATAGCATCAGATCGGCGAGATCTCGTCAGGGAAGTACAGGTATAAGGTATTAAAACTAGGCGCACCAAAACATCACCGAATTATTAACATTATCTGATTTCTAATAAAACGTCAATTGAAAAGATTTTATTATTTTTGATAAAAACGGATTGCAAATTTGAGTGCTTATGTGTCTGGGATACATCTTGAGCTAAACGTATCATTATTTGGTTCAGATATAGAAACATTATCAGGAACTTAACAGCTTACTACGAAAATCTTAAAAAGGAAGTAAACGAATAAAAGGGGGATTTATCCCCATCAAGCCATTCCCAAAATTGAGGGACCTGGCTTCAAACAGATGAATGAATTTCTGATATCAAATTCACGACGCTAGAACATTTATCAGATATTTATATACAAACGTCTACACTATAGTAAGAATCACACAAACTGCACATTTTCTCAGGGTGAATCAGAGGTAAGACTCTTATCTTGTTAATGAATTAATTTTGCGGTTTGTACCGAGATGAAACTTGAACTATTAGCGCTCTGATAAGATTGAGAGACAGTTCAAGTTTCACGTCAATCCAATAGTCTGACACAAAGCTTATAAATGAAACTTGACCAGTCAAACTCAATATTTCTCAGTGCAAGCATGACAAATGCCATCAAATCTGACCAGTCGTTTGCCAGGCTTCGGATGTTGACTAGAAATGGGAGTTTCAAGATCTATATCGCTTAAATCCCAGTGTCAAAGTAGGACTTATTTCTAAAGCTGCCAGACGATTTTGTTTTCTAAATTTTAACAGAAGATATCTCGTTTCATATAGGGCCTACAGTCGATTAGGCCTAAAGTATACGCTATCAAATTAAAAAGTGATTACCTGTGGACGAGGGGTGACACCATGGATATTGCCAAGGATGCTCAATTTATCATCAATAATGACCAGTATTGTTTAAGTCCAGATGTCAATCCTCGCGAGTGTCCACTCTGTCTGCGGTCAGTATTGTTTCTTGCTCGTCACAACGCATCGGTCAGCTTCTGGTCAGCGTGTCGTCAGTCTAGGGTACCAGGTAGGTACGCGGCTGATGAGTTTTTACCTGTGACACCTCGACTCCAGTAACACATCACATTGTCACTCCCGACAGTCAACCAGTCGCGCCTCAACGAACCCTGTCACATGATACAATTGTCCTGCAGTCATAGACTTATCGTGGCTAGCACATATTCATTTCAGATCGAGCTTCAAGACATTAAAAAAAGGTGAGAATAAAACAAAGGGGGTTAAATCACCTCCGAGTTTAGCACATTAGTTGGCCCAACAAAATGATACCAAGTATTGATATTATACAGGCGTGTGGATTTGTCGGACAGATATCGTATAATTCACATGATAAGTGTTTGATAACTTGATCAATATTGGGCCCGATTGTTTCGACTACAAAGACCTTAGCCTAGGCCTAACTCATTATACAGTATATATCTCAACTATTATCTGTTTTCATCCACGGAGTATCGACACAGGTTTTGTTTGTACAAACTTGGCTGTTTTCAGTGAAGGACGTAGATTGAGGATTTGAGGCTGTTGAATGGTTCATTATTATGCACTGATGCTGACAAAACATTGAATATCTAGACCAATCATAGACCCGACCTCATCAGCTGTGGAAAGTAAACATTGCTACTTTGTTCTCTGAAATGACGAAACAAGATTGTATCTTTATAATTTATGCTTTTTCTTCATATGTATTTTAAAAAATGAATGGTAGAACAAATTTTTTGATAGTTCGTTTTTGTTCTATAAAAACTGTATGCTAATTACTATAATTCAAAACAAAAATTTATACAAAAAAAATATTTTTGAAAAAGACTGACATACATTTAGATCAGTGCATTCGGTACACATCTTAGTATTAATGTATACAATGTTAATTATCAATGATAGATAACAATTTTAACATCTATTAATTGTGCTATATAGATATCAGTAAAGTGGATTAAAATATTAGCTTTAAAATTAATTATCAGTTCTGTAAATTCATAAATACTTTGTGTTAATAAATTGATAATGATAAAATCACAGTGGTAATTCAGAGATTATTTTTAGTAATTCTGAAATGAATGAAAATACTTTCAAGCGAAAACCTTGTAAAATCGACTTGAAAAACCATCAATTTTCATTCACACACTCCTCAACCACAGTAATGTTATCTTGAGTAAGAAAATTAGAATTGATATAAAAATTCCAAGTACCGTAATTTTTACAAAACGAATGACTATCAGTCCACATTATAATATTTGTTTAAACTTGGCTAAATACATAAACATGTCAATTTTTTTCTGGTGAGTTTTTAAAGACACAATGCAATTTCAGCCAACAACAGTGAATATGTTTTACACTTTGCTTGACCTCTGCATTGATCTCAAATATTACTTTTCTATATAAATCTAATTACGCTTGCCCCCTCCTTCTAAGATTATCCACCCTTTTCTCAATCCCCCAAATCTTGAGTAGGACTTAATTCAGTGTTTGTCAATAAAGAAACAAGGCTGTTTTTTCTGAAGAAGTATAAAGTTACAGTCTAAAATTCCTGAATAAAAAAAAGTTACTTTTACTAATTAAATCACCTTTTCTTATTGGATCTAAATCGGTATCCGATTTCCTGTACCTTGATTAGAAGTGTCATTTCTCCCCATACATGGTATGTTAATGTTATAAGCCTATTTGTCCTTGTTTGGAGACAAGAGAAGTCCACAATAGCTAGAGTACATCCAGTGTACCCAAGTCTGAGGAAGTCTCGTCCTCTCAAATCAACTGGCTTTTACCCAGCACTTCAGGAGGTCTGTCAGAGGCGTTAGATGGTAAACACGAAATTCTAACAAAAAACTCAATGACAAGAGGCTCTTATATTATATAGAAACCTGCAAAAATAGAGCTTGGTCCTTCAATGCTATAACACTAGGCCTGGGTATTAAACACTGTTTGTTTTCACCCAAGATGAAGTGTTATGTTGAAAAGCGACCTTTGTTAGATACAAACAAAGTATATTAAATCCCAAATCTATATCTCAGGAAGAAATCATTGATCCCCGGTTCGAACTGAAAGCGAATTTTTATGAGACAATTATTAACCATCAGGGAGGGAGGGACAGCGAAATTGTAATAAAACGGAATTGAATTGGCACGACAATAGAGAGGATTGCACCCGGTAACGTTGCTTTAGCCTCGTACAAAACACAGGTAATGTGAGGATATTTACAACAGGTGTAAAACCAGATTAGGGGAAAAAATTAATTTACCTGTTTGTATAATCCCGGTCGCTTTGTAAATGTAGTGGCTCTAGCAATCACTCATTTTGTTATGCACTGTCAGACATTCTTCTTCGACTTTCACAGATGTCCTGGATTTAAACAGATTTAAAGTTTTAGCAAATTTATTATGAAGTTTTTAAAATGTTGAAAGATATTATAATATTTCTGTATGGTAAATCAAATATCTTTTTATGGTCCAATTTAAGATCCTGTCATAAACGTGCACAATTCTGCTCTAGGAATTTGACATTTGGTAATTAAAAACTAAGATATATATACATTGCAATATGTCATGTGCAAAGAAAAGTAGAAATTAAACAAAGCTAAATGTGATGTTCAGAGAACACTCAACTTCGAAGGGGAAACATAACGAAATGGAATCTAGAAATTTTCGGTTTAACTCATTCACCCCTAAAGACACATTTGAACTCTTCCAATTCAACGGTTGGAATAGTTAATGATGAAATTTCAGGGGTGAATGAGTTAAGCATTGGACTCTAAGAATCTAAAATAAGACCTTTTGGATTCGTTTCATAAATCTTTTATAAAATAGGAACATGGGCATATTCGCTGCATGGAAGATGTGAACATGTTATAAAATATAAAGTTTTAGAAATTCGTCCTGAGGATTCTCGGGGACCAGATTCTGCGACATGGTGATATTCAATGAAACCAGGTCATGTGACCTTTTAGCATGACATAACCATGGAGACAAGCGATCTCTACTGAAACACAAAACAATTCATCACATGTCGGTGTGCTTCAGTTCTCCTGACATTAAACTCCGGGCAAACTTTTTAATATTGAGGATGTTTAGAGAGCACCGATTAGCATGATCTATAGCCATGACATTCCTATTCAAAGGATGTTACTTTTGAAGGTTTGTGAAATGGAAGACTAACAATTCGTATCACTTGAATCAGGGGGAATTAATTTGTCATTTTCATGATAAAATCCATACCTGTCAGGCCTATTAAATTTCGATTTGATGTCCAGCAACACGGGGCCCTCACACAAGGCATTACTGACGGCACATAACAATGGCAGATTCATATCTGGCATTCACAGGGGTCGTATAATTGTATCGGGGTCGTAACTTAGTACTCAAATAGGTAAGGGTTAAAAGTATACCTATATATATATACTGGACAGGAGTAGAACCTTCATAAACAACCCTCCCTGGTCAAGGTAAATGAGATTTGAACTTTTGACAGAATAGTACACATCATTGGTCATTTGATGACCGTATTGGATTATCTCCCCTGAACAGACAGGTGAAATAAAAATTACATTTATTAATGTTGCAATAATTGTTCATTTTACCCATAATTGTCTAATATCAGAGAGTTATTTTCAGAAGCTGCAACCCTTTCAAATTGTTTCATGTTTGAACAGCTGATGGCTTAATAGAATCTTCCCCTACCTAGGGATGTGACAGAGAACTCTCCAACCCTAGGGGTCTAACCTGAAGCTCTACTGGAGGTCACACTTCCAAATGTTTCTCCCATAATTCCAACATTATTTTGAATACATACAATTTTGGTATTTTTTTTTTTTGTTGTAATCCTGATTGGCATAATATGACTTACCCATCATGTCATTTAGAGCAAATTGTGATGTCATATTTCTTTGTTCCCGTGACATCATAGTATTGTTTCTTTTCAAGTTATACCGGTCATTCCGTAACGGGTGACAGAGAATTCATACCCTAGGAGATAGCAAAAGAATCCAAAAGAAGTAAATGTGGAGATAACTCTAAGAATCTTGGGATATCATCCTTAATCAATTGTCCAATTAAAACGGTACATTCTATACACTGCATAAATTTTGAGTTTCAAGTTAAGATGAAGCAACGGCAGAATAAGTGGTTGTATGGTTCCACCTGTGTAACATACAATATGGTATTTACATAAATACACAATCTGTATCATTTCTGTTTGGAAATCTTACCATTTAATAGCAGCAAACGGCAGAATTGCAGTGAAAAACCCATTCAAAATGGCGCTCTGTATTGCTGTCAAGTGTGCATGACGTCATTAGAACCTGGCATCAAAAATTATGCAACAAGTTCCCGCGCTTCTTTGATGTAGGAATATTTGCGTCGCACGTCATGTCAGAAAGGAACAAGAGGTTCATTGGACCTGTATCGCTCACCTGGTTTTATATTTAAGTCATTACAACTGAATACATTAGTACATCTTTATATGAAATTTCCTCAAATCCAGACAAGATCTATGTTCTAACCCAACTGGGACCACAATATCTGACTTTCAACTAATCAGGGGCCTCCATTGAGTTGGCATGTTAACAGATTTTAAAATAAGTAATATGTCATATTACAGGGTGTAATTAGACAATACTTTAAATTCATTCAACTATAAGCTTTTATAAACCTAGAAACCAATTTTTAACAATTTATGAAAACTACACCATAGAATATGATAATCTAGCTGTACCAAATCTTAGGACCGCAGGGGTCAAATCAACCTCATTCAATTAAGAAATGTTTGCAGGCAATTAGGGGATATTAGCGTCTTAAAAGAAAATATTAGATAATTTTCCTCATTGGGGCCCGGTCTTCCTAGCCTCAGGGGTTGAACCAACCTCATTTATTTAGGAAATGATTGCCCTCCCCCAATGAAGTTTCAGAGCAAATTTGGTTGAAATCTTCTCATGCATTTAGGAGGTAATGCATTTTAAAGCAAATTTAGCTAAGTTCCCCTTCAGGGCCCCGCCCCCCTTGCCTCAGGGGTCGAACCAACCTCATTTATTTAAGAAATGAATGCCCTCCCCTAGTGATGCTCCAGACTAAATTTGGTTGAAATCCTCTCTGGTGTTTAGGAGGAGATGCGTTTTAAAGCAAATTTAGCTAAGTTCCCCTCCAGGGCCCC